TTATGCACCAAGAAGGGCTGAGAGAAAAGAGATCCAAAGCAGTCATGTAGAGAAATTGTTTCTCTCTCTCTCTCTTTTTTTTTAATCAGAGCTCCTGCCAAAAAGGCTGTCCAACTGTCTACCATATCCACTTTTAGCTACTTGAATTTTAATTAAAAAATAAAAGTTTCTGTATTATGTATCAGAATATATGATTAATTCTCAATTGGCACCCTATGTCTTCAGCAGAGGGCAGACAAAAAATTAAATTCTGCATGAACATAGACAGCAGCTCAATTCCCAAATCAGTACCATCCATTTTAGAAGATGACTTTTATTCAGTGTTTTTCCAGCACCATCAGTGCTTAGAGTTTAGATAGAGCTTTTGGTACGTAAATCTCTTTAAATAACTAGAGAAATTTTAGTTATTAACAATATAGACAATAACTGTCCTTGTTAAAAAAATATACAGTTTATGTGGTTTTCTACTGCTCCTACTCTTAAGGTTTCTTTTGCCCTCTGCTGCTTTTCCAACATGGACTTTCAGATTTGAACAGTAATAAATGGGAGCGTAGGAGGGAAAACAGTTTGTTGCTAGTTGGTAACTCAAAAGTTGGTGGTTTGAAGCGACTCGAAGGCTGAAAAACAAATTCAAGCCTCCAGGTGCAATACTTAGAGAAAATAGTGAATGACCCAGGATGCAACAAAAGAAGATGGAGAGAATATTCACAATGATTATCCAAAAAGAATCTGTTGACATTGAAATATTTCAGGTAGTGCCATTAGAGAGAGCTCTGGTAGCCTAATGGCAAGAAGCTGCTGCAGTCCTGAAAGCATGCCCATGGAGGGCACCAGCTGCTCTGAAGAACTGGCAATCTCCTCCTGAGCTTCTGAAAACCTGCAGGAGGTTCAGCTATGGGTCCGTGTTGGTTCCAACTCTATGGTACACAACAACCAAAACCATATCATTAAGAACCAACAAAAATGAAGGAAAAGTTCAATCGACAATGATGTTGTTGTTGTTATGTGCCGTCGAGTCACTTGCGATTCATAGCGACCCTATGTACAACAGCCCTAAACTCTGCTCTGTCCTGTGCCAATCGCACTGTCTCTGACACTCCCATCCCAATTATCCCAGTCACT